GATCTAGACATGCTATGGTGATGAAATTTGGATGGTAGGTAGCTCTTGTGCTGGGGAAGAAGTGACCTGAGTTTGGGCCCCCTAGCGGCTTGCTCTGGAACTGCAGGGATATATTCTTGAAAATATTCAAAAGGGGATAACTCAAGAACCGGTTGACGGATCGTCATGATTTTTGGTATGTAGGTAGCTTACGTGATGCTTAATATAATTATGTGACAATTATGCAAATATGGATGTAATTTGCATAATTTATGGGGAAATTCTATAAATCAGCTGCATTCCATGATAGGACAATTGAAGCTTGTGACATTGGTAATTGACAATGAGAGAAACACAGGCAGATATTGATTATGTTAATAATGACTTATTTTGCATAATTAATGAGAAAATTTTATAATTATGTAATGATAACTGCCTGGAATTTCATACTTGTGGTATTTGAAAGTTAAGTTGAAGTGAACATCATTAAACATAATTTATTCAAATCAGGACCCCATTTGCATAATTTATTAGGAAAAACTAGAATGCATTGTTTGTTAATATAAGACTGTCTTTTGGTTTAGATTATGATAAAATGATATAATTCATGAAAATTAGGTTCCTACTTGTTAAATCAGGGGGAATAATCTAATGTATAATTTGTCAGTCATAAAAATTAACATCATTTGGCGAAGGTATGAGATCGGGGAACTCTAGTTAAAGAAGAGACCAAGCACATTATACATCTGTGTATAATGTCCTTGAAGAGACCAAATGACAACTGGCCAGTCTTTCCCTCCTGACACCTGCTTGATTTTCATTCATAGTTACATGTACATAAAATGTATACGAAACACAACAATGGAGCAAAATAATGACAGAGGGTAATACTCAGCACAAATGTCTCTCACACAAGAAATTACTAGTATTGGGAAACTTTATTTTCTATCAGATAGCTACAAGTTTCCAATCCTGTTAGCCCTGATCATCAGTTATAAAATTGCCGCCATTTGATCTACTAGTATTTAAACCGACTTGCACGTCTTGCATCATGTCACTGGTGCTTTCTGTCAAAACAGTTAGAAGAGTAAAAATTACATTTCATTCCTCCGAAAAACTGATTACATGTAGTCTCCATTACAGTTTTAACAACACAATTTGAGATAAAAGCTTCACAGTATTCAAATACTATTCAATACATAAACACTGTTAATCTTGAACATCACATCATCAGTGAAAAGTTAACTGTATCGTTACAAATAATAGGCCACACCAATTTAATTTCTTGGTTAACGGATTCGCCCCCTTCATTTTTTTCTGATTTGCAAATAAAAATAAAAATCCAGAATCAACTGCAAAATGCTCATATTTTGCCCTGAACAGTTGAAAACAGTCCTTTTCATCCTAGTTGTTACAGTTATTCCATCTTTCAATACAATGGTATCATTAAAAGTTCAAAATTCATTGTTTAAATTTTGAACCAGCCTGGTGTGTTGACTTCATGGCTCCTATCATACCATTTTGGGCCATAATAGGATGCCTAGGCCTGTTTTTATTTTTATTTTTTTTTCGCCCGCCCGCTCCATTATTTTTCTTCAAAAATCCGTTAACCAAGAAATTAAATTGGTGTGGCCTTAGTGCTATTCACAAGTACATGTTGAAAGCTCGAAAAGTTGTACATTTCAATCCAGATACATTTTGTACTGTTGGCAAAAACAGGCAATCATTCTACAGTGTTACCCTAAGGTTCATGTTTGTAAGGCTATGTGTTTGTAAGGCTATTTTGACCTCTAACCCGATTTTGTACCACCATTTCTTTTTCCACACAGAAAATATTTTTGGAGAAAACATGTTGATTGTCAAGAAAAATAATACATGTATACAACACAACTATATGTATGGAGTCAAATGCCAAATACTGTGGGCTTGAAACCAGTTTTATTTTCATTTAAAAGAGAGTTAAGGCCTGTTGGTAACCAAAGTGCAGGTAAAATGGAGTTAAATGTCATCTGTATTGAATGTTCTTGTTTTCCAAACTATTTCAAACTTTAAGTGACAAAGTTTCAAGCCCATAGATATGACTTGCCCCAGTTTACAAATGTTTTAAAAACCTCCATCAATAAGACATATACATCGTTGACCGACCTTAGTCAGTAATTGTGCGTTAAAAGGTTTGAAATGTTTGTCACTCCTTGATGTTTTTGGTCTGTATAGCTTGCATGTACAAATCTACTACATTGGCATAAATAACTAACCATGAAATTCACATCACTTCGTCACGTAATAGTCATAATACATGTATGATTACCAATCTTACTATTATGTTTGTGAAGGTTACTCATCCCGGAATATAATAATATAAATCTTGATACAGTTACAGTGGGTAGCAATCTTCATCAGTGAAGAGGAAAGGAAAGTTTACGTTCAGCTAACATCACACACAAAATGGTAATTTCTGAACGTTAACTTTTCTTTTCACTGAGGCCATGTTGATTTGATTATATGGATGACATCCGCGCGCGCATGAATTTTCGGCCGTTTCCAAAAAAAAAAAAGTTTTCAACCATACTGTAAATCATACAAAACAGTTGCAAAATGAGCAAAAATATACCGTAAGTTAAAAAAAATAAATAAAAACTATACCAATGTCGTAGAATGCCAAAATCAAACGAAAAAAGACGAAATTGTAAAGAAATGAACTTGAACACTAGATTATTCGCCAAACAATATTCTGTCCCATTTGTTCAACCCTTATGACATGACCACGTAGATTTCATAATGAAAACAACTTTTTTTTTGTTTGCAAACCTTTTTTTTTATTCGCACGCGCGCATCAGTTTTGGGGCTCCCGGAGGATGTTATCCATATAATCAAATCAACCTGGCCTTATGAAGATTGCTGGAGAGTGATTTGTAACTTCCATTCAGTGTATTAATTAAATCAAGATTTACAAGTACATGTAATCTTATTGTTAAAAATCCTGGACTTTCTGCAAACATTGAGGTCAGATAAAAAGAAGGCAAGAGTTCTGATACACTTGCACACAAACACACAATGTACATGGCAAGTAAAGTAGCAAGAAAACTTTAACAACCCCACAACTATCCCTGAAAATCCACACCTTGCACAACTATGCAGACTTCTGGCAAATTTTCTTGCCTTAACCAATAAACTCAAATATTACTTTGAAACAACAGTAAGACACAAAAAAACAGCCACATACACTCACACAATGTGCATGTATCAATAAACATTCTTTTCCTATTAATAATTTCCTCTTTAAAATCAGATTTCCGACAGCACATTGAGAAGAACACAACCAGACCACTACTCTCTTTAATTCTACGTTTAGAGGTCCAACCGTCGCAAAGTGGAACTCGCTGTTACCAAGTACAGTAGTAAGCTATCATTAGATAGCTTTTAACAATGTTTAGAGTTAGATGTTCAAAGTTTAGGTGTAACAAGTTGTTCGGTGTAATGTAGCCAGCTGCCGCCGCGCCGCGTGCCTACGAAACTGGTGTGTTACACTGAAGGGCAGTTATACTGGCTATACAGATACAGGTCTAGAGACAGAAGCTGGTGTGTTATGCCGAAGGGTGGTTCTACCAGATATAACTGTTACAGATACAGAACTGGAGATTGTGTGCCAAAAAACTACATCCTGACAATACATATCTACAGTTCCTAATGTCCGGGGATGATTGTACAGTCAGGACAGAAGCCAGACCACTAAACGTAAGAACAGAGCGCTTCACCGCCGACTCACAGCGCGGTGGTCACCACCACCTTTATGATCTCGTCGTCGTTTGCGGGGTGGACGGGTCGTTTTCTCTTCCTGCTGTCTCCTCCGTCTGTACTGGTGCTGCTCTCGTCTTCTCTCCCCTCTGAAACACAACAAAACATGGAGTAAACCTCTGCCAAAAACAAGAAATGCTTCTAAAAAAAAAGCTGGCCATGAGACAAGATGGGAATAGCTGGTTGGGTGGTGTGAATCAGATGTTCAAAAGATAGGGCTTAGATGCACAATTGCACTTTATCATCTCTTTCTAACGGAAGAGAGAGATTTGCAATACACATACATTGTATATTGTAGTTTATGTGTATTCCAAAATTGCTTCATTCAGCCAGTCTTTCCCTCCTGACATCTGCTTGGTTTTCATTCATGTGGTAATATACAAATGTACTTGACACCAAACTATCCAACCTGATTTTTAGCACAAAGCCTTGGCCAGGGGCCCAGAAAAAAGGGTGAATTCCTACTTTACAGACCTTAAGTTTTAAAGGATTACAATCGAAAACGTAACCATAATTTTTATATTTCAGTCCATACCATGGTATGGATGAAATATATTGTGTTCTCTGATGTTTCTTCTCCTTCTCCTCCTTCTCCTGCCAAACAGTCAAAGGGATTCAACTCCGCCATCATTCAGCCAAATGACTTGAAATTTGGCATGGAGGTAGAGTGGGCCAATACCCCCAGGCGTTTTTTTCATTTTTTTGATACATGCCTTTAAAAAATTTTTATGAAGGTTTTTTGGGGCATTTTTCGCCAAAAAATGGATTTTTGGATCCTGAGCCCTGGTTTTACAACCAAATGATCTGAAATTCGGTATAAGGGTACCTTGAACATGTGTCTACAGAATAGCAGTCACATATTTGGCATACACCACTTCCAAATGACTCACTTGGGGGACTTTAATGGCTATTTTCAGCACAAAAAGGGCCAAAAGTGCTATACCCGTTCCATGTTCTATCTAAAGAATGGCCGGTTCCATCCATGGAACACGTGTTCCATTGCGGGTTACCTGAGGTCACATTGCACCTAAGTGGTGCGTAATGACCCACACATTCAATTTTATGTGCCTAAGACCTTCAAAATGTATCAAATCTCATCATTGTTAGTTTTTGCATACCTGTAATAAGATTAGTAAAGCTTTCGAGATTCAAAGTACATGTTGTTGCATCTTTGTTCTCATATAGCTACTATTTAATTCATTTATTTGAGAACCTTCTTTGCACTGGGGTAAGTTTGGAATAGTCCACTTTTGCGTGGGAGGGAGATGGACTGAAATATGCTGTATTTGCTCCCAAGCAAATGTCGGCCTTTCTAGTCCTTGGTCTAGAGTGTTACTGTTAGTAGGTTAGTTTTCCAACATGCTCGGGAACACTTGGTCAACAAGTGGTTACATGTCAGTTTACCAGAGTGAAACATTACAAATGTTGAAGGACTCACCAGCTTTCATTCCAACCTAGCACCATGCCCGTAGCCAGGGGGGGTTCGGGGGGTTCGGACAAGGCTCAAAGGTCCACTTTTTGGTCCACTTTTTATGTAAAGGTCCACTTTTTGGTCCACTTTTTATGTAAAGGTCCAAGATTTTTCTTGAAAAGATAGACTGGAATCGTAGAAAAACTGCTCCCTTTGTCATTGAATAAAAATTTATCTCTGATTTTTTTTAAATCCTCTCAAAAACGCACGAAATGCCATTTTAGAAGGTTCATTTTTTTTTAATTTTCCGGGGGAGCATGCCCCCCAAACCCCCCTAGGAAGCTCGCTACGGCGCTCGAGGTCCCCTCAAGCAGTGGGAAGAACCCCTCTATTCAAAATCCTGGCTACGGGCATGCAGCACTACACTAAATTCTACCGAGCCAGACAACTTAACAATGACCAAAATGTGTCTTTCAAACAATGTTACTTTGCACCCAGCCCCAGACATGCTAACTGTTTCTACAATGTCACCTGTGCGTTAATGCTTGGGTCGTTTGGAGGACTCGAAATGGACAAACGGGTGGTCAGGCGGTCAGCGAGATCTACGGCCAGGCACAAAGCAGGAAATTACTGACTGGTCAATTTTAGTTTGCCGCAAATTTATACTGGTACCATTGTTGTCCCAAAGGATAGGACAAGAACCATACTTGTGACGGACAAAAACAAATTTGAAAAAAAACATGCAGACATGCACAATTAAAATTGCTGATGCAAAAGAAAACTAGGAGCAAGCTAAGCTTCCTGGTTCACTCTTTTTATGACAGCCAATTTTTTCTACCCTAAACCTACTGGAAACACCACGCTCATATCTAGTTTCAACCATACATCTAATGTTTTGAGTTTCCATTCATTTTCGGGGGAGGAGGAGCAAAATTTTCTCAACTTTCACTAAGCAAATCAGACATATTTCCTGTGAGATTCAAAAAAATAAAATACAAGATACAAAATTCTGTCCGACTGCAGTGCCTCTTACCCACCACACTAATATTTAGTGTCAAGGTTTTATCTAAAACTTTGGGTTTCAATTTTGGGGGAAAGGGCTCTAAGCTTTCTCAAATTTCAAGACAGATAAACTTCCTTACACCAGCTACATGTACATGTATGAAACTCACCTAAATAAAGCACAAGATATAGAAAGATATTTTATCTGCCTGTGGTGCCTCTTACCGAGCGTGAGTAACGTGATCTGTCGCTGTTGTTCGCGGATTTCCCGCATCAGTTCCAGGTTCTGCTGACTCACGATCTCGTGGTCCACCATCGGGAACGGGTAGTCCCTTCCCACAATGCACCCTGCCGCCTCCTGCACCTTGAGTGGCGCCTTCCACGGCTCGTAGATGTACTGAGCTGGGAAGTCCTTCAGAACAGGCAGGTACGCTCTGAAAAACAACAAGGAGATAACCTCAGTTAGGCCGTGTTGATTTGATTATATGGATGACATCCTCCGGGAACCCCAAAATTGATGCGCGCGTGCAAATAACAGGAATAACAGGAGCGGTGACAGAGGGTCCCGCTAAGGAATAACAGGAGCGGTGACTGGGTCCCGCTAAGGAATTCCGGAATAACAGGAGCGGTGACTGGGTCCCGCGGTTAAGGGAATAAAAATGGAACTCCACTACACTTGTATATTCCTAGCCCTTTGCACAGTACTTAGCAGGGCTGAGCCAGGATCACAGCCAGAAGACAAACAGGAGATAAAGAAAGTACAGGTCACATGCAACTTCAGAACCGATTGCACATCTGACTGGGCCACTTTTGCTTTCATGATTAAGCACAGCGGGGCTAACGGAACTCACGTCAATAGCAAGAAAATGCTATTGCACAATAGTGGCACAAAGTTTTCACTGATCATGATTCTGATCTTAAGCGGGGATATTGAGATCAACCCAGGGCCTAGACCACCAAAGTTTCCATGTGGGAGTTGTAACAAGGCAGTACGTAACACCCATAATGCAATATGCTGTGATGAATGCGATAGATGGTACCACAGTGATTGCATTGGGCTATGTTCTCAAGTATACAGTGCACTAGAAACCCACCGATCATACTCGTGGGTATGTTGTGACTGTGGTATACCCAACTTTGCATCGGCCATATTCGATATCACTGATGAAACATTCCATTCAGTAAACTCATTTGACACGCTGAGTTCTGACTCAAGTTTACCAGACGAAATCCCAATGGCTACATCCACTCCACTTAAATCAAAGCAGGGTAATTCTCAAACGAGGGGTCATAGTCACAAGAGATCCAAAAGTAAACTTCTTCTAGTAAACTGTCAGAGTGTGCGGAACAAAACAGCTGAACTGGCGACAGTAGTTGACACTTACAAGCCAGATATAGTAGCAGGTACAGAGTCATGGCTCAACCAAAAACATAGCAAGTAGTGAAATATTCCCCAGCAACTACATAGCACACCGGAAAGACAGACAAACTGGCCAAGGAGGTGGTGTATTTCAGGCCAACAGAGATGATCTAATTGTTACCCATAGGCCAGACCTTGACACAGACTGCGAGGTTCTGTGGACACAAACTCAACTTGCAGGAAGGAAACCACTGATAATAGGTACATACTACAGACCCCCATCAGACCAGGGCAATAGTCTGGATGAACTTGACAGGTCTATAGGTAAAATGGGAGCAAAAATAAACTCTGACAATGTGATCATTCTTGGCGATTTCAACACCCCTGGCATCAAATGGGATACTACTGTAGCTGACAACAGTCAGGCCTACACAGGCCAAGCAGAGAAACTACTAAACCTAATGGATAACCACGGGTTATTTCAAACAGTCCAGGAACCAACTAGAAATGGTAATCTCTTGGACCTGGTCTTAGTTAATAACCCCAACATAATTGAGAAGACCACAGTAGTCCCGGGGATAAGTGACCACGACATGGTTCTAGTGGACGTTAACCTGGCACTGAAACAAAACAGGAAACCTAAGAGAAAAGTGTACATCCGCACAAAAGCCGACGAACCAGCCATTAAGAAAGACCTAACGGATTATGCAACTAACTTTCACAAAAGAACTCAGGATATGTCAGTTACACAGAAGTGGTCAGACTTCAAAGACAAAATGAAAGACACGATGAACAAGCACATCCCAAGTAAGATAACATCAAGCAGATACAACTTGCCTTGGTTCAACAGAAACCTAAGGAGGCACTGTCGTAAGAAGCAGCGGCTCTATAACAAAGCTAAGAAAACAGGCCAAGAGGAAGACTGGAACAAATATAAGAGAGTTAAGAAGGGAGTTCAGAAAAGCATAAGACAAGCACACTCTAAATACGTGGCAGACATACTGGGAGAAGCTATAGTTGACAAACCCAAAACATTCTGGTCGTACATAAAAGGACTGAGGAAAGACCTTGTCGGGGTAGCACCCCTAAAGGTGGGAAATACCATCATCAGTGACAGCGGGAAAAAAGCAGAAGTACTCAGTTCACAGTTCAAAAGTGTTTTCACAGAGGAAGACACCACAGATATGCCATCTCTAGGTCAGCCCTGTACTCCTCCAATGGAACATATAGTAGTTTCTACTGATGGTGTCGAAAAAATGCTTCAAGGTCTCAATCCCTCTAAAGCATCCGGACCAGACCAAATACCACCGTGGTTCCTCAAGTTGACAGCTAGTGAAATCGCGCCTGTTCTAACCAATATTTTCCAACACTCGCTAAACACTGCAGAAATCCCTAAAGATTGGAGGGATGCAAATATATGCGCCATCTTTAAAAAAGGAGATAGAGCGGTCCCCAGCAACTACAGACCTGTTTCACTGACCTGCATATCCTGCAAACTACTTGAACATATCATCCATAGCCAAATCATGAAGCACCTAGAAAGTTACAGTATATTAACGGATTACCAGCATGGATTCAGAGCCAAACGATCCACAGAAACACAGCTTATACTAACAGTCCATGACATAGCTGGCGCACTAAACAGTAAACGGCAGGTAGATTTAGCAATACTTGATTTCACTAAAGCCTTTGATAAAGTCCCCCATGGCAGGCTCATCTCAAAACTGGAGTATTATGGAATCCAAGGCCCTACGCTGAATTGGTTAAAGGCTTTCCTGACCAACAGGGAGCAAACAGTAGTGGTTGAAGGGAAGGCGTCGGCTCCAGTTAAAGTAGCGTCTGGGGTCCCTCAAGGAACCGTCCTGGGGCCATTGCTCTTTCTCCTGTATATAAATGACCTACCAGATCAGCTTGACTCAAATGTGAGGTTATTTGCCGATGACTGTCTATTGTATGTAGAGCTTTCTACACAGACCGACTCACCACTTCTCCAAAAAGCCTGAACACCCTGGAAGAATGGCAAAGCAAATGGCTCATGCAGTTTAATCCCGAAAAATGCTACATTATGCACATAACAAACAAACGAACACCACATGCAACTAGCTACCAGTTTTGTGGTCAGGCTTTAGCAACCACAAAAATCCATCCGTATCTGGGCGTCACGCTGACAAGCGGACTGAAGTGGGGTGCACATGTTAATAATATCACAACTAAGGCGAAACAGACATTGGGAGTGATTAAACGTAATCTGTGGGCATGTCCAACGAGAGTAAAATCACTTGCATACACGTCACTTGTAAGACCGAACCTAGAATACGCTGCGACAGTATGGGATCCATATACAAAGAAAGACAAAGACAAATTGGAAAGGGTACAGAATCAAGCTGCAAGATTCTGTATGAACAACTATGTAAGAGGTGCTAGTGTCACGGAAATGAAAAGAAACCTACAGTGGACCTCACTTGAAGACAGAAGAAAGATGTCTAGACTATGCATGATGTACAAAATGACTAATAAACTGGTGGATGTCCCAACTACTAAGTACCTAATACCAGCCCAGAAGATAACAAGAAATAGCCACGCATTCAAGTACCAGAGTTATCAACCAAGGATTGAGGTGTTCAAGAATTCATTCTTTCCTAGAACTATCGCAGAGTGGAACTCACTGTCACCAGGTACAGTAGGGGCACTGTCAATAGATAGCTTTAAACAATGTCTAGAGCTAGAAGTTCAAGGGTTAGGTGTAACAAGTCGATCGGTGTAATATAGCCAGCTGCCGCCGCGCCGCGTGCCTGCGAAGCTGGTGTGTTACGCCGAAAGGCGGTTATACCGGCTATACAGATACAGATACAGATACAGAAATAAAAAAAAGTTGTTTTCATTATGAAATCTACGTGGTCATGAGGGTTGAACAAATGGGACAGAATATGGTTTGGCGAATAATCTAGTCTTCAAGTTCATTTCTTTACAATTTTGTCTTTTTTCGTTTGATTTTGGCATTCTACGACATTGGTATGGTTTTTTTGTAACTTACGGTATATTTTTGCTCATTTTGCAACTGTTTTGTACGATTTACAGTATGGTTGAAAACTTTTTTTTTTTGAAACGGCCAAAAATTCATGCGCGCGCGGATGTCATCCATATAATCAAATCAACATGGCCTTAACATAGTAAAAGTTTGAACTTTATTCCAACACACAATTGTACAGGGATCAAATTTTCAGCGACCACTGTCGCCTTCATCAGGATAATTAATGACCAATCACTTCACAACGTGATCTCGCGAGAATTACGGTTTACAAACACGTGACCTTATTCACACGAGACTTTACTGATACGTGACGTAAGCAATTGATCAAAAGTGCCAGGGAGTTTATATCGTCCACCATCTCTATTAAGTGAAGGCTGAAGTGCTCTGATATATATGGCCAACAATTGTGTGTTGGAATAAAGTTCAACCTTTTACTATGATTGCTACGAACACAGATGAACTTTCATGAAAACCTCAGTTAACGTTAAATTTTATCCACCGCACTATGTACATCTGCCACTTCGAAAGATTTGAGAAATCTGAGTACAGTAAAACTTCTCTAAGGTACACTCTGAAAAATGATGTTATACTTCAATTATACTTCAATTTATATCCACCACACTATGTATATCTGCCACTTTGTCTTTGAAGTGACTGAGAGATTTGACTACAGTAAAACTTATCTGTCTAAGGTACTCTTGGAAACACAAGGAGGCTATAAATATAGAATACAACACGGGGTATTCCGTATTGCCCGAGGTATCGGCCCGACCGCGGGTCGGATCGCCCGACGGCCGCAGGAGATCCGACTCGCGGGAGGGCCGGGACCGAGGGCGATGCGGAATACACCGTGTTGTATTTTATTTATGTCATACCCACCCAAGAAAACACGCCTTTCAATGCAAGATGAGCCAAAAGTTGGTGCCACTAAACCCTAAAGTGCAACAACATCAATTCCAACGTCCGGATTCTGTATTCGAATTTTCGAAAGGGGCACAAGCGGGTAGGGCGAAACGCGTTCGAATTGTTCTATGGAAGCCATAGAAGCGTTCGATAACGAACGTTATCGAACGTTATCGCGGCCCGGGTATGATATAACCTCAATTATCACATAGCCAGAATACATTGACCAATCAGTAGTCCCCATTTCATATTGGTTACAACCGTAACCTTAACCTTACCAGCAGTGATTACATCCCATAAAAAAAGTGGTGTTTAAATCTCATAAACACTGGGACCAAATGGAATGGAACACAGTCACATTCTATTTGAATGACCCCTGGTGACCCCAAATAGAACACGTCAAACGATCACAAGTAGTGTTTGAGAGATCTGAGAATTTCATGAATAAACAAAAGGCTCAAAGTCAAACAAATGTTAAAACAATCTGTCCAATGCCACACACTACATGACTCAAAAGACTGATTACAGCATGGAGTTATGCCCCCGTTGATAAGGAGGCTAATGTGAATTGGACACATCAGTGGAATGAAAGAAAACAGACCAAACAGAAAGACCCTTGACGGGAAACCACACAAGACCAAACCAGCATGAAGACATGGCAAGCCAGCGTAGAGAAGGACCTACAACGCTCTTTGAAACAATCTTCTGGCATCGAGCAGAAAAGAGCAGCACAAAACTGGACACGTTTACAGAAAAGGACAGACATAGGACAAAGGTATGCCCCAATATGGCATGGCAAATTATCTACTGGTAACTACTTGTCAATAACATGTAGTCAGATTATACTTAACGACTTGAGGTGCAGAACTGGTTTGTTGCCCCATATGATGATTTCATCTGCAACTTGTAGTGTGCATTGTCCAGTGGTTAGTGCCTCGAGCTCTGGACCAAGAGGTTGTGAGTTTGAATCCCAGTAGCTCACCTGACTTTCATGCTACTGCTACTTTTGTTGTGGTCAACTGTTCATTTTACTGTTAAAAAGAGCTAGGGGAATTTCCCTGTTACAATGAACCTGTAAATACTACATACATAGCATCTGTCTTCTCTGTCATGACCAGTTGAAGAATAGCTGTCAACTGTTCATTGTGTTCATTCCAACTGTTTTTTTACTCAACAACGCTCATGTGAACTACTTACATATTTAAGGGACTGTAAAGACAGATGTTTGTTTACCTTAGACTTGAAAAGTTTAAGCTTTCAGCGTGGAACTTCCTTTTGAGAGAGGGAGTATAGAGGAAGAAAGAGTGATTCTTCTGTACTAGTGGCAAAACATATCCTAGCCGAGAAAGTTTGAAGTGTGTGTGTTTCAGATCTGTTTCACTTTAATTCAAGTCAGTTTACCTGATGAAGGTGCCGTTAGGGTCAGTCCGTTTGCCGAACCTAACGGGACAGAAGATGCGTGTGTACTGGTGGTAGAACGCGCTGCCTGACAGCCACATCCAGTTCCCTGCATTCACACTGTAGTCTGCATCTAACAGGAGCTCCTCAAATACCTGAGGGGGGGAGAAGGATGATGATGATGATGACTGGTTTATTATACATTCACATAAACATTATAAAGGTTAAGGTGCTAAATACTAGTAACCCACCATGAGGACTTTTGGGGTGTTCTAAAAGTACATGTTGTAGTTAAGTACGGACTTTGAATTTTTGGCACAAAGTGTCTTGTTGCAAGATGAGAATTTATGCAAAATTGTATGACGTCACGATAACGTCATCAATAGTTATGAGGCCACGCCCATTTTTAGAAAAATAGCATTTTCAGGCTAGTGCTTCAGTAAAAAGTCACAATATTTTTCAGAAATGTGCATAATAGCCATAGTAAAAACTTTACGTTTGGATTTTCTCATATTTCTAAAGGACGATTTTTAATGAATTTTTTTTCGAGAACGTTGAGTGTACCCCATGTCGCTAGTCCCTACAGATTCGCAGCCTTACTGCTGAATTGTAGACTTCTTACAGCTTTAAATTTTTAACCCCTGTGAATAGTTTCATCAGGTTGGTAAAACACTGAGTAAAGAGACTCTTGTTACACAGGCAAGAATTGTCTTAAACTCTTTACGAATGTTACAAGTTCAGACTATCAACTTACAATACAATATACAACTTAAGCCACAAGGGAGCCTATTAAAACGTTGTCCTCCAAGTTAAAACTTTACTTAAGGCAGGTTATGTCCGTCCAGAAAAACACTTGAAAATTAGTTAGCATGGTAAACATACCGCAGGTTATGTGAAAAACACTTCTTAGTAAGTAAGTAAGGCAGAATTAACAAGACACTTTAGCTGGAACATAGCATTCTAGGCAGGTTATATAACACACTTTTAGAAAAACACTTCAGTAACACTACTGGTTAAGGCCCTAGGAGCCTTTTGGCACAGTTAGCAATAGCTTGAAGTACGGTACTCCTTTCAAGTGTGTGTGTCGGGCAATATAAAATCATATTGTCCAAAGATGTGAAAAAATTTGTGCAAAGTTGGCCATTTCAGAAAGTCATTGTCACAAGGTTGGGAGGTAGGGGGGTGATTAAGAGAGGGAGGGTGTACAGTGATTAGCACACCTTCTGCCCCTCCTCCCAGGAGATCCACAGGTCCCCTCTGGTCAGGAAGCAGGCCACAGCGTGCCGTGCCAAGTGGTGGATCCACCCCTCCTGCTGTAGCTGCGACATGATCGCATCTATCCAGGGGAAGCCCGTCTCAGCTATTCAAGAAAAAACAAGGGCAACAAAGTCAGAAAATATCAACTGTGGGAATCTTTTGAGGAGTAGGAAAAATTTTTTCTTCCATCAGTGGAGTTCAGCAAAACACATTGTCAAATATTTTCATATAGAATAGAATACCCTCCATATAGAATATTGAATATAGAATATAGAATAGTGTCCCCTCCTTCAGTTACCCTTGTTTTTATTTGTACCGGTCACTTGTTTTGTAATTAACACATGTGCAGCTGCTAGTAATCCAATGTAAATTGGGCTCAGCAGTACTTAAGATGATGATAAGTAGAATAGAATACTGGTAGAAAAAATAAAACAGAAAAGAGCAGAACAGAACAGAATAGAATAGAATAGAATAGAACAGAACAGAACAGAACAGAACAGAATAGAATAAAATAGAATAGATACTGGTAGAATAGAAAAGAATAGTATAGAATAGAATGGAATGGAATTTAGAATAATAAGCCATAAGGATAAAAGAAGGCACCTACATGTAAGCGGTGTGAGGCCGTTAAATGAAGGAAATTAATTAGCATAAAACCTTTACTAAAGACAAGAAATGCTGGTAAGAAATATTTTGAAAGCCCTGTGGAGAACTAACGCACCGTGTCGCCACCTGCGGAGGTGCTCCTTGTTCTCGTACCACGGGATCTGCAGACAGATGGGATTCCCCGCCATCACCACGAAATTCGGCGTCTGTGCGGCCGCCACGTAGAAAAACTCTCGCCACAACAGCTGGCCCTGGAGCGACACGGGCGGCAGCGAATGGTCCTTTGCCTGGAGAAGGGTTTAGAATAATGATGATGCATTGATGAAGGTTAGACATCCAGGCAATGAGATATACAAGAAAACAGTTACTTAAGCAGCTGGATAGGTTTTGAAAAATGTCAGACATTTCAAGAAGCCTTGACTACTAGTCACTGACGAAAAGTAGTCTCTGTGTGGTTAAGTCAATTTGAAGACCCCCAGCGAAGTAGGCGTTGGCTCCCCCAGCGACGCATAGCAACCACCTTTGACCCCTAGTTTTCCAGATTTTCCCCATTGTTCGCTAATTGCCCCCTCCCCACCTAGTGTGAAAACTTCCCTAGAGGGGTGCCGCTGGCCCAGGTGAGATGTTACCTGGCACCCTGCAGGCGTGTGAAGGGCTGTATAACAGTACTGTCTGGGAAGGGAAGCAGGATGTGTATTGGATGTGATGTAACAGTGTTCCAGGCGTCAGAAAATAGTTTGGATGGCTGTCTGAATTTTTGCTTGTATAGCTACATATAGTTAGTTGTATCAAGGACATTATACACAGATGTGTATAATGTCCTTGGTTGTATACAGCTTAGCTCAATGTATCGCCCCCAAAGTTCAGTTCCCGCCAATAGTACACCGACTATGGTACACTGGGATTTTGACTTAGTGTGACATTGACTTATATATAAATACCCTTACCATCATCACACCGACTGCATGCATGTACTTATGCCCTTCTGTTACAGTACTCATGTTTGTTCTTATCAAAGCTCCACTACTATTATATAGTACTAAGTCTGGCCCAAAGGATTGCTTCTTCTAATTGAACTCTTTAAGAAGTAAACTTCTCTTGTAAACCCAGTTTCGTATAAAGGTAATCATGCTGCTAACTAGCTGTCACTTGCAAAATGGGAAATTTAACTATTTTTTTTAAATTTAAATACAAATTTAAAAAAAAAGAAAGGTTTCTGTGCCACTTTTTCATTTGGTGATTTGGCCTTCCTTGTACTGAGGACATTATACTAGTACTTGGTGTACAGTCTTTACTGAATCCAAGGAAAATGCCTGAAATAATTTACATGTACCATTAATTTCCACAAAATAAAGACTGAATTTCCCATTTTTCAAGTGACTGGCATATGTGATTACTTTGTTTACATTGTTTTGTAAGAGTTATATTATATCCATGCTCAGAACACTAAGGACTGAAAAATCAATACTATAGTTCACATGATTTAACATTTTTCTTGTGTCTTGATCAAACAATTCCTCCAAATTGCTTTATGTGCATGAAACAATCATATAAATGTCTGCCAAATCAAGGAGGTTCTAGGGGTTCTAACTACATGACCAAATTTATCTCATTTTGCTTGGATAAACCAAGAAGCTTCAATTTCAAACTGAAGCTCCTTTGATAAATAGTCTTAGTCTAACTTTTCTGGAAATTTCTGTATTGTGTACATGTATGTGTGCTGTGCTTGTTAATTGTCTCTTCAGATACTCCAGTGCTAAAAAGTGTCTATTGTACTTGTTTATCAACCCAAGCCAAACTGTCTGGCATGGCAGGTAAAGGTGTGAAGCAGCCGTGAATTTGCCTATTGTTTTCCTCAGGTATTCTGGTACCCTGCTGTCAGGGTCTGAGTCAACAAACTAATTGGCCATATTGTCCCCTTATCCAAACAAAGAGATCATATGTCATCCTTGGAGTGACCAAAAGTTGCAATTTTGTCATATTTTTTTCTTCTCAAAGGCGGAAACATATGCAATGTTATTGTTTCACGCAAAAGACATGTCTGAAAAGTAGACAAGTTGAATTTTAATGTTCAAGTGGTCCCAGGGTTGTGCACATTTCCAGTACATTGTATGGGATCTATGAATATTTCAATTATGCCATTTTTGGTAATATTTTGAACATATTAAAGAATATCTCTGCTACAATGATATTGGTAGATGTGGGACCACTTGAATATTATAGAGTGATCATTGCAGAATACATACATACCAAATTTGTGTCAAATACATGATTTTAGGGCTTCCGCCGGGAGCATAAAAGTGATAAAATTTAGCTCTGATTATCATATTCATATCTTTATATCAGTATGCTTTAATTGGAGTCTATATACTTAGAAAGTATCTTATGGATCCTATGCTTCATGTCTTGTTGTAAGTTCTGGAAGAAAATATCTCAGTGACAATATATTGAACATCAAAGTTGGGGGACCAGTTAATTAGCTAGAAAGGCTAAAAAGTGACTTAACTACACAGAGGTGGATGCTACTAAACAGTCTTGAAACGTCTCCTAGTTTTTCTATTTCAAATCTATAGAATTCTTTCTTAACAATTGGCAATTCTTTCCAGTTTCAAACTACAGCATGTTTAGATCCAATGTTCAGAACATAGAAATCTGCGGTCATTGCATAGCTGTGCGGCCAGTGGGCTATCAAAAACATAGATGAGCACTGCCCTAAGGCTATATACTAAAAGGCGTGGGGAAGGTTTTGACTTCAACTGTACTGCCATAGAAAGCCACAAGGGAGCCAATAATTAAAGTTGTCCTTCAAGTTACAACTTCTTTTTAGGGAGGTTATGTGCATTCAGAAAAACATTATTAAGCATTAGGCCATGTTGATTTGATTATATGGATGACATCCTCCGGTAGCCCCAAAACTGATGCGCGCGTGCGAATAAAAAAAAGTTTTGCAAAAAAAAAAGTTGCTTTCACTATGAAATCTACGTGGTCATGAAGTTTGAACAAATGGCACAGAATATGTTATGGCGAATAATCTACTCTTCGAATTCATTTCTTTACATTTTTGTTCTTTTTTCCTTTGTGTATTTTTGGTCATTCTACGACATTGGTATCATTATGGGTTCTACCACACCACGAAGTGGTGTGGTGAACCAT